GGGGACCAACAGTTACAGTGACGTAAAAAAATCCCACTCCTGGGGCGCCTGGGTGGCTCAGATGGTTAAGCGTCTGCCTTCGGCTCAGATCATGATCCCAGGGTCCTGGGATCAAGTCCCGCATCGGGCTCCCTGCTCAGCGGGGAGCCTGCTTCTCCCTCTGCTTCTCTCTCTCTCTGTCTCTGTCTCTCATGAATAAATAAATAAAAAAAAAATCCCACTCCTTGGAAATCCCAGCCGTTAGGACAAAGGCACAGAAACCACACCCACAACTTAATAAAGGACAGGCATCTCATTAGCCGGATGCTGCAGATCACCACCCCTCTCACGAAGTCACTCCACAGCGGACTCCAGATCTGTGCTCTCCCCAGGATTGCAAGGTGTGCCACATTCTTCCAATACTCCATCCTTAGAACAAAACCTTTAACTGTCCTCGTCAGTCCTGTGCACAGGCTCACAGTGAGCCCTGCGAAAGCCAGACACCTTCTTGAGAGCACTCAGCCTCTCACGCCTATCCTAGCAGATGGGGGTGCTGTTCTCCCCGACTTCTGTACCAACTAGAAAATACTTTGAACAAGTCTTGCCATACTCCATGCAAAAGGCATGTTCTTCATCTGCAAAATTATTGACGGTGAAACACCATGGATTCCTCAAACCTTCTTGAACCTGGGTAAATTGTAGATACAGGTTGGCCAGAGCTATTATCCCCAATCCCCATACCCCCCCCCACACACACACCCCTACCTTGTGCATTCCAGACCAGTTTCCAACAACTTTGCTCATTCTCAGCCATTGTCTCTGCAGAATAGTAGAGTAGTACCAAGGTGCCGGGATTGAGGTGCTAGGTACTAAGCCAGCACCTTGGACCCACTCACTACCAGAAATCAATACTCATTTTATCAATAGATGCGTCACAGAAGACGCTGCTACCATAGCGGTTAGAAAAGTCATTACAACAGAGAAACTAAACCTGTACCAATCTCCACGGCCCCACTCCCTGGCCCCAGGGATTGGCTCATCCATGGGCACGTGACCTGGTCCCAGCCAGTGAGGTGGCAGGAACCTCCCGGGTCTTGGCCTGCAGAGGAAAGCATGGGGTGGACCACCCAGGCCAGGGGCTTTTCCATCACGACTGCAGAAGTGGCCTAGGCCAGGCCCGTGCCAGCGCCACAGAGGGCCCAGGAAGCCAGGGGCTCGATAACATTGCTGGGGACTGAATCAAACTCGTCCTGAAGCCCACACGTGTTAGATTCTCCACTGACTCACAAGAACCATAAATGTGCTCACAATCTTGGCCAGAACAAGATGACCGTCTGTGTGGTATATAACCCGCGAGATATATCCACCAGTCAATGGGGACATATTCAGCAAAACAATACCTACATGTACTTCAACCACAGACAAACATCTCATGGGAAGCTCGAGGCATTCAGATAAATGCAGGGGAGTTCCTGAGGCCTTAATTGTTGGTCAGTCTCGCTATCATCTTTCCTTTCAAGTTTAGGGGCCGGGATCAAGCAGGTTTGATCCCAGTGTATGCCCACGCTGCCATTTGAAAATAAGAGCCCTCTCCCCCACCGTCCATCAGGTTGCAAATCTGGGGTGTGGGAAAACTACCATCCATGGGCCAAATGTGACCTCCCCCTGTATTCTGTAAATAAAGTGTGGCTGGAACCTTAGTTATGGACAGTCTGTGGCTGCTTTCTAGCCACAATGCAAGAGTGGAGTCATCGTCAGAGAGACCACATGGATTGCAATGCCTAACAGAAAATCTTTACAGAAGACTTTATATAAAACTCTGTGCCGATCCCTGTTCTAAAAGGTAATATTATCGTGTCACTCCTTTGACTAGAACGTAGCGCCTTCTGGGTAAAAACTAATTTCTTTACCCCCGTAGTCAGGGACTTCCATCATCTTAGCCAGAACTCCGTATCCATCATCCTCTATTTATACCTTTAATGGCACAACTACATGTCTGCTGCCCAGTGGGACTTCACTGTAGTTTACATGGTAGTGATGCTCAGAAACAGAGGTGTAAGTGTGAACGTGTGAGTGAGTGTGAGCGTGTGTTGACTCTGTTAGCCACAGTATGCAAGTAGAACACAATGCAGTGGCACGCTTTCTGTCTCACAGTGACGGCCACGTTATGTGGTTACATAATGATATCAGAAGGAATCCACCTTCATAGAACCAACTTCGTCTGGGAGGACTCTCAAAACCCTTGTCCTGGGCACTATGCTCCACTATGGCTGGGGGCACACAGAGGGACAGAGACTCACCCTGCCCATCAGGGTTTTGAAGGAGGTCTGCTGTTCCAAGACAAAAGATCCCAAAACCATTCATCCACCTATCAACCAGCCAGGCAGCTGTGAAGGAGATCTATTCATAGCAGAAAGGAAAGGCTGAGAGACAACATATGACAGCATATTGTGACAAGTGCCACTACAGGGGACGCTCAGGAGGACTGGGGGTGTGCAGAGCTGACCAGAGCAGGGGACAGGGGGCTGGGAATGCTCCAGGACGATGATCACGGCTATGTCACTACAGGGGACGCTCGGGAGGACTGGGGGTGTGCAGGGTTGGCCAGAGCAGGGGCAGGGGGATGGGGAATGCTCCAGGAGGATGTCACAGTTGTGTCCTTCTGTGGCTACATGTGTCAGTGTGACAGGGCATTGGCCAGACAGGAAATGATGGGGGGAGGGGGAGGTGTCGCTGAAGGCAAAAGTTCAAGTAATGAGATTTCTTCAGGTACAATTTCATTTTACATGCTTATATGAGTCCCTAAAGCTGGTTGTGTATAACATGAAGTATGTGCTTTGCCATTTCTTTCAAGTCTGAGGTACTGGGCGCAGAGCACACTTGATACTTATTTTTGTTACTTTCATCGTATGGTGACTTTTCTTGCCTTTGTATCCGACCCAAGGACAGGGAACAAAGTCAACACAGATCTGCACACTTTGAAATGTCAACAGAAATCTGCAAACCCAGGTTCTCACAGGAGCTAAAGGTTAAGGACCAGGGTGACACAAAGGGGAGGCAGATAGCAAGTAACCAACAGAAGATGTCATGTGTCTGAGTTGGCCACCTTCTCTACCTGTCGGAAGGAAGCCATGCCTGACAGGAGGGAGCCACACCTGGACCTGGTCTCTCTGGGCTGCCCTTGAGCATAGCAGAGGTTGTGCTGAGCTGGGTGTGGGTGTCGGGGGAGATGGGCAGTTGGCCACAGATGCTACCTGCCAAGTACCTGTAGGACCAGCTCCCGGTCCTCAGCTAAGGTTAAACAATAATTATGTTTAGTTACATATTTACTGTGACAGGAAAGGTGCTCACTGCTTTGAGTGACTATATTCTCTCCCATTTTATGTTTTAAAAACACTTCATGGCGTTATGACTGACATACAAAAAGCTGTACATAATTAATGTATTCAACTTGACCCTGACCCTAACCCTAATATCAAGTTAAGATATACTCTGATTTAGAATATGGCTCATAAATTATTTGATGGTTATTAGGAGCTAGGGGATCCAAGGGCCAACCTTATTCTATCTTATTCTCCCTTGAATTTGGTAGGTTGAAACACATTCCGCCGTGTGCTATCTGAAGAGTGGCCACACGGGGGCAACAGTGAGTAAACATTAGCGCAAACGAGGCTCAAAAAGGGGAATGGGAGTTGCAAGAAGCAGGCTGGAGTAGTCAGCGGGTGGGGGCTGTCTCATGGAGGAAGTGACCAGGAGACTTGTCACTGGTTACAACAGTGCAGCATCAGGGTATGCGCTCTGCCTGACCCGCGACCCCCAGGGGCACTGGGGGCATTCTAGCTCCAGAGGATCTACGGAATGCAAATCAGCCTGAGCCTAGCCTCCGTGGTCTGTCTTCTTTGCTCCTGGGTGTGGCTCTTTCTCTGCTCCCTGAGGCTGTTGATTATCACTTTGTTTTCCTCCAAACTGCACTATTTTGTGTGGGTTCAATACTGTTAGTTGACACAAATTCTTTCTGAAAATAAGTGGAATATAAATCATACTTGTTTCCTAAGTAGATCTGAACATATTCAATAATAACAGCCTTTTTCCAGGCCCGTGGGTCTTCCTCTGCTCGCCTTAAGAGTAACTCCGAGAATTTTTAAAATATATTATACTTTTAACAGTTTAAAAGAATTAGTTTGTTTATTTTAAAAATTCAACAAAGTCACACTTGTACTTATCTATAAAATGATCTGTAAACATTGAATGAGCAAGGTTTTATAGATGAAGGAAAAAGTCAAGGTCAGGGTTGAGATTAGGATGTGTGAGGTTGAGGTTCAGGGTTAAGTGTACCAGGATCATGGCCAAGGTGAGGGTCAAGATCAGTGTCAGAGTGAAGTTGGTCAGCAATCTCTGCCCCACAGCCCAGCACCGTGTGCAGCTTTTGCAGATGCCACTTCCTGAAATGCTCCCCTGTACGGTCTACCTCCCTCACCTGCTTGGAGTCCTCAGGGCTGCGTAATCCTCCCTGTCCACCTCCACGGGGATTCAAGTGTCACGAAGGCAGGGATCTTGGAAGAGAATGTTTTGTATATTGATGAATTCCAAGCACTCAGAAGAATCTGTGGCACAGAGTAGGTGCTCAATTTAAAGCTTGTTTAATAAGCAATGAGTATCCCTTAAGGTATTTCTGGAGGGGAAAAAGTACATCTGGAAATAAACCGTTCACAGTAGTTCTCTCTGTGGAAGAATTACAAGGAAATTTCATGGTTGACTTGACACATGTCCATATTGTTTCAAATTTTAAAAAATTAATGTTGATTACTTTATAATGACCAAAAATGGATTTTTCCACTTTGAGAGACAACAAAGAACTCCAGGTAAAGTTCCTGGTAAAGTGACAAGAGACTCATTGCACTATGGCTATCACCCAAACCTCAAACAACTGGCAGCCTTTTGGGGAGCCTTGGAGGGAGCATCTTCGAAGAAACCCTACTCTAGTTCTTTTCTCTAAGGAGGAAAGACAAACCAAGAGGCAAGACAACACAGAAGGTCTATTTATTCAACAGCAGCTTTGAAAAGGAATCCTCGAGACAGTGAGGGGACGTAGTTCCCCATTTCTACTTCACTCCTTTCCCACACGGTTCTGTCCTTCGTAGGCTACAGCCTGATGCAGAAAAGGGGACTGCCTTAGATGTACTGATACACGACCTTGGAGGGCACAGTCTGGAGGTGCAGACGGACGGGACATTTGTAAAAGTGGGACAGCAGAGTCTCACTGTAGCCCACCAGGAAGTAGAACTTGTGTGCGGGCAGCTGCCTCAAGACCAGGACACAGATCTCCAACTGGTTAGCCCAGCGCTTTAGGATCAGCTGGTCGACCAGACACCCTGGGAAGGGGCCCAGCATGAACTTTCGGAGGAAAACATCCTCCACTGTTCGCTCTGCAGCATGGTTCTCCCCATCCAGGTTACCTGAAAGGAGAAGGGCACCTCGAAGACTCAGGAGAAACTCCAGAAGTAACATCCAAAAGTCTGGGCACTCAATTCCACTCCCACCCCCACCCTGGCTTCTTCTTTCTTCTTCTACAAGTGGAATAAAAGGAATAACACTTTAAAGTTCAAATTACATTATTTCATGACGTTCACAAACAAATCCTGTGAAGTAGGAATTATTGGTTATCCTGGTTTTACAAAAGGGAGGACTGCGGCCTTCGCAGGGCACAAAACTCAGATGACCCTCTCCTGTCTAGCCTTCCCCACTCTTTCTGGACGTTTACAGAAGCACTGGCCATCCCTTGGCCCAGAGAGATGAGGCCAGCAGCTACTTCTGAGACTGGGGACATGAGCTCTCTCACCATCCAGGGCCGTGGCCTCAACCAGTGGATTCTCAGTGTAGATCCTGAAACTCCTACACCTCGTACAGTATGCCTGAAGAGTCTCCACACCCAGCCCAGACCTCCACACCCAGCCCCAGATCCTGAAACTCCTACACCTCGTACAGTATGCCTGAAGAGTCTCCACACCCAGCCCCAGACCTTAGAACCAGGACCTGAAAAGGGTGGGGGACAGGAATCTGTATTTTAAGTTCTCTAGACAGATGGATCTCAAAACACCCAAGTTGAGAAGCCTCATACTGAACAAAACACAGCTGATTCTCCTTAGTTCCCAGTAGTTTTGTTCTATAAAGTCACCATGAGCAATGAGTTAGGGAACACTGAACCCTTGCTCCTAGGGGATATAAGGGGTTTGGTTTCTGCGTGCCCTTGGTTAAGACACATCAATATATAACCTTGTTTCATGTGTGTTTCTGCTTAAAGACCCCTTGTTTAATACACACGACCGATTAACACTGAACTCTCTGCTAACAGCATCGTAACTCGTGCATGAAGAAAGCTTACCTAACATGCATATTTTCTCCCCAATGTACATCACACCCTTCTTGTGCTTCACACTTCATCATTAGGGCTATTTTAAGGCAGCGAAGTCACCGACAAAAAGCACAAAACTGTAAACATGGGGCACTAATGGATCTCGAAAAGAACACTTGCTTAGAGCATGAGCAGAAACAAGAAGGCAGCACCCCCAGCAGGGAAGGTGTGTGCGGGGTGCCTGCTCTGCCCACATCCCATGATTCACGAGTATGAAACCTGAGAATGAAAACCTCTGAATGAAGAGGAGTTGAATCAAGCCTCTCGCACGTGTTTATCTGGTGTTTGTGTGATAGCCATGACTGAGAACTTCATCCCCGGGGCCCCCAGCACCACAGCCCCTCGCCTGTGTGCAACAACTGCCAGCCTTTGCAGTGGGCGATGTAGTGAGGTGCTTGCACCCCCTTGTACGTCACTGGCTTGTCCCCTTTGCCCATTATGACTCGGGCCGCCTGGTTCTAGGAGCACAGAGGGGCCATGACTCTGCACACCTGCCAAACTAAGCCAAGGTCCCCTCATGTCCCCAGCCCCTGCGCCCTTCTGCCCCAGGACAACCATACCCATCCCACCATCCTGGCCCCTCCACCCCCGGATTCTCCACCTCCCAGCCCTTCTGACCCTGGCCCCCAGGCCTCACCCCCGGGGTCCCTGCCCCCCAGCCTCAGGCCCTAAAGTCCCCCACCCCTGGACCCTGGGTCCTTACACTCTCAGTCCTTGGCACAGGGACCCTAACCCACACATTCAGTGCCCCCCTGAATACAAACCTTAAGACTGACCCTCACCCTATCCCTCCCCATCAAATCAGCCCTCTGGGGAGGTCTCCACACTGCTAGCAGATAGGACCCTACAGGTTCCTGGGCCCTAACCGTAACCCTAGTCATGGCTCTGGCACTACACAGGCCCAAAGCCTAGTTCCGAAAAACACCTGGGGACACCTGACCAACACCAGAGCACTCAGCCAAGCACACAGAAGGAGCTTGTGCCATTTTGAAGACAGGAATGGAACTACTGTAGAAGGATTCTGAATGAAAACCTAAGCCAACCCACACATTCAGCCCCACCCTCAACAAAATCCCTAAACTTGACCCTCACCCTAACCTTCATCCTCAACTCAGCCCTCTGGGAAGGTCTCCACGTTGCCAGCAGATAGGGGCCTCCAACTCCTGGGGCCTAACCCAAACCCTAGTCATGGCTCTGGTATAACCCAGGCCCAAACCCTGGTCTGAGAAACAAGGGATTTAACACCTGAACAACACCAGAAAAATCAGCCAGCAGCACAGAAGAAATTGTACCGATGGAAGACCGGATGGGGCTACAGCAGGATGATTCTGAATGAAAACCTAAGCAAACCCACACATTCAGCACCCTCCTGAACGCTAACTCTAAGCTTAATCCTCACCCTAACACTCGTCCTCAACTCAGGCCCCCTGGGCGACCACCACACTGCTGGTAGATAGGACCCTCCCATCTCCTGGAGCCTAACCCTAACCCTAGTCATGGCTCAGAGACAAAAAGGACATCATACCATTTGAAATACCAGAATGAAGCTAGTGCAAAGGATACTGAATGAAAACTGAAGCCAACTGACACATTCAGCCCCAACCCTAGAACACAAATCTCTAAATCTGATCCTCACCCTAACCCTTGACCTCAATTCATACCTCCAGGGAGGTCTCCACACTTCGGGAAGATTGAACACTTCATGCTCCTGGTTCCCAACCCTAAGCTTAAGCCTACCCCTAACTACCCCTAACCCTAACCTTCATCCTAGCCTGTAACCGCTAACCCCTAAATCTCACCCTCACACCTAACCCTCACCCTTACTCTAATCCCTCACCCTCACCTTAACCTTAACCCCCAATTCTAACCTCTAACCCTAACCACTAAACCTAACCCTAACCCTAGCCCCAATATAGCTGCATTTCTCAAGCTTCTATCATGCCCATCCCTGGAATTCCCTTTGCTGCAGCCATGAAATGGGTGACAATCAGTCCCCACGTCTGCTTACTCTTTGCTGAAGTCCTGAGCTTCTGCAGCAATGAAGGCTCCCAGGTGTCTTATTGAAGGTACCATGATCAGCATGCTGGAATTAGTCCTTGCAAGGGTTCAGTTTCCTCCAGCTCCATCTTCAATGGGTTTATACATATTTATGTACATTAGTGCTGGAAATAGCCAGATGTCATGTACCCCGGTAACCCATTCCTGTGAACCAGCCTCTCCAGACATTTGCCTTGAACCAGGGGAGTGGTGGTGCAGTGGGTGTCCTCCAAGCCTGTGGAGCTTTGGTTGGTTCCAAACTATCTGCATAGCCTCCGGCCAGGGGGAGATCACCACCCAAAAATCTTTCTGAGGTCCAAGCTAAGTCCTGGTCCAGGTCTTAACCAGTAATTAAAGCTCCCAGGTGTCTTAGTGAGGGATACCCCTGTAGCCCAACAGGCTGAGTCCTGACAAGGCAGTCCAACCTCCACCAGCTGTATCTTTAGAGAGAATATACATTTTTTTGTAGGGCAGGACTTAGAATAGGCAGGTGTCTTGTACCCCCAACAGCCCACTTCCGAGACCCAGCTTTTCAAGATACTTCCCCTGTTCCAGGTTGCTACCTGGACCTCTATAGTTTGTATATATGCAGTATGCACTTCATCAGCCTGCCTTGGGCAGCTGGGGCCCTCCAGGCCTGTGGAAGTGCCAGCAGGTCCAAAACCATCTGCCTACTCACCTGACCATTGGGATCAAAACCCTGCAAATATTTCTGTGGCAGCAGCTTTAAGCTCATGAAAATCAGTCCCAATTTGGACTGGCTGCCTGCTTAAATTCCCGGCTTCTCAGCACCCAAGGCTCCCAGATGTCTCTTAGGAAGGTAAGGCCAGTCAATCCAGCTGCACCCTGGCAAGGAGGTACACTGTCCTCCAGCTCAGCCTTCAAAGGGAATAGGTACATTTGTGTTGGTTCAGGCTTGGAAATACGTAGACTCCACATACTCCCAACAGCCTGCTCCTGAGACCAGGGTTCTCCTGAAGTTTTTGTTGTACAGATTAACCCTAACCCTGGCTAAATCAAACCGTGTAGGACATGTGTGTGCAGTATGCAGTGATCAACCAGTCTTGTGTGTCCAGGGCCCTACAAGCCAGTGTAGTTTGGACTATCAACAACAAAGTGCATGACTTTCTGAAAGGAGGGGGCACACCCCTGAAAATCGTTCCATGGTGGCAGATTTCCACATTTGGACTGATTGCGCAATGGGGATGCTGATTTGCACAGCAATCAGTACTCCCAGCTGTTTTATTGGAGGATTACCCAGCAAGTCTAAGGAGCCCCAAAATGGCAAGGAATTGCAGTTTCCTCTGGCTCTTCCTTCAGGCGGAATATGTACTATTTGAGTGGGACAAGTCTTAGATTTAGGCAGACAGCAGGTGTCCCAAATAGCCTGTTCCTGGAACAAGGCCTCTCCCTACAGCTGCCCTGTTCCAGGTCCCTATATCTCTTACACATGCACACTACAGACTTCTTCAGCTAACCAGCACCCTACAGGTATGTGGAACCAGGGCTAGTCTCAAACCTCCTGTAGAACCTCTTGGGTAGAGGTATGCACCCCAGAAATTTTTTTCTCAGGCAACAACTTTAGACTTACAAAGTCACACCATATTTCGACTGGGGTCCCCAGCTGCTACAGCAATCAATAACACCAGATTTCTCTTCTTGGAAGACAGTCTGAATTCCCTAACCCTAACCATAAACCTAACCCTAACCCTGGCCCCGGCCCCAACCCCGAACTTGACCCTGACCCCAATCCTAAACCCTAACCCTAACCCTTACCCTCAGCCTCAACCTCCTCAGTAGATTTCCACCACACCAACAGGGCTCCAATATACTAACAGTGGATTGCAAATAAGATAGCTCTAGGACACACATTCTAGAAAAACCAAGAGACAACAAGGGACAAAAATAAGGACACCACAGACATGCCAAAAGGTAAAAACAAACTGTGAAGGGACAAGGCACTATAAAGAAGCAGACTCCGATATAAAGCAGATATTGGCATTATCAGAAAGGAAATTTAAAATAAGTAAGATTAATATGTTAAGAGCGCCCCTGGAAAAATTAGATAATGTGCAAGAAAAGATGGGTAATGTAAATAGAGTCATGCAACCTCTGAAAATTATCAAAAAGATGTGCTAGAAATGAAAAAATACACTAACAGAAATGAAGACATCTTGCAACGGGCTCATCGAGATACTCAACTTGGCCAAGGAAAGAATCAATACAGTTGGAAAATATGTCAACAGAGTTTTCCAAGCTGAAATACAATGAGAAATTAAAAAAAAGAAACCCAGAACATCCAAAAACTGTGGACCAATATGAAAGATTAAATAAACACGGACTTGGAATAGTAAGAGAAAGAGAAAACTGAGCAGAATAAATATTTGAAGTAATAATAGCTAAGAACTTTCCAAAATGAACAACAAACACCAAATCATATGTCCAGGAAACTCAGAGAATGAGGACAAACACCAAACACACCAATTAATCCTAGGTATATAGGGGTAATAATAATAAAAAAAGACAAAGAGAAAATCTTGAAAGAAGCCAGAGAAATACAACACACCTATGGAGGAATAAAGACAAGAATTACAGTGGACTTCTCATCAGAAACCATGCAAGTGAGCGAGAAGATAGTGGAATGAAATATTTAATGTGTTGAAAGGAAAACCATATACAGTGAAATTATCCTTCAAAAGTCATCAAGAAACATTGCCTCAGACAAAAACTGATATCATTAGTTGCCAGCAGACCTGTCCTAAAAAATATTAAAAGGGGTTCTCAGGCAGAAGAAAATTTATTTACCTCAGAAACTTAAATCTACATAAAGAAATGAAGAACATCAGTGCAGAAATTAAATGAAGGTAAATAACCTTTTATTTCTTAGTGTTAATCTCAAACTGCTTATTTATAGCACTAGTAATAGCAATAAACTAGGTGATTACAGCATCTGTATAATGCAGGACAGCAATGCCACAAAGGATGGAATACTCTGATATAAGGTACCTGCACTAGGTGTCATGTAGTCATCATTTTATTTAAAGGTAGGCTTAGTTTAAAATGTATATTGCAAGTTCTAAGGCAACCACCAAAATATTTTTTACAAGACATTTAAAGGGAAAGGGGCGCCTGGGTGGCTCATTTGGTTGGGCAGCTGACTCTTGATTTCAGCTCAAGTCATAATCTTGGGTCCTGGGTTCGAGCCCCATGTCAGGCTCCATGCTCAGCGTGGAGTCTGCTCAAGATTCTCTCTCTCCCTCCCCCCACCCCCCACCCCCGGCTCGCACTCCCTCTCTCTCTTTCTTTCTTTTTTTTTTTTAAAGATTTTATTTTTATTTATTTGAGGGAAGAGGGTCAGAGGGAGAAGCAGACTCCCCGCTGAGCAGGAAGCCCGATATGGGACTCGATCCCGGGGACTCCAGGATCATGACCCGAGCCAAAGGCAGCCACTTAACCAACTGAGCCACCCAGGCGCCCTTTCTCTCTTTCTAAAATAAATAAACGTTTAAAAAAATAAGACATTTAAAGGGAGAGATAAAATGGACTCCTTAAACGCCCAATTGAAACTAGAGAAGGCAGGGACACCTGGGTGGCTCAGTTGGTTAAGCATCCGCCTTTGGCTCAGGTCATGATCTCAGGGTCCTGGGATCGAGCGCCACGTCGGGCTTCCTGGTCAGTGGGGAGCCTGCTTCTCCCTCTCCCCATCCCCTGCTTGTGCTCTCTCTCGCTTTCTCTTTCTCTCAAATACATAAAATCTTAAAAAAAAAAAAACTAGAGAAGGCAAAAAAAAAAAGATGGAATCACAGAACGGCAAAGAATGGACATCAGTAACAAATATGATACATATTAATCTGATTAGATCAATAATATCTTTAAATACACCAATTAAAAGATTGTGAAAGTGGATAAAGGAACTTGATCCAACATTGTGATCTACAAGGAACCCACTTTAAACATAACAAATCATAGCTATAACTAAAGGGATGGAGAAAGATCTACCATGCTAACACTGATCAAAAAATTAGCTGACATAGATCTATTAATTTCAGACAAAGCAGATATTCAGAACAATGAAGACATTAAGAGATAAGGGGCACTAAATAATAAGAAGGCCAGCCTTCCAAGAAGGCATAACAATCTAAATGTGTATGCGTGTAACAAAACTGTCAAAATGTATGAGACAGAAACTCACAGAACTGAAAGGAGAAATATGCAAATCAATGATTACAGTTGGAAACATCAACATTCCTTTGTACTGACAATCAACTGATACATCAAGCAGAAAGGCAGAAAATCAGGAACAATCAGTACCTTTTGATGATTAAAACTGGATGATATAAACCTTAAGAACTATTGGCAGCCAGGCTTCCTGTCACATGGAACTTAAGTCTGCAGCAAGAATAAAAACAAATAAATGAAATCATTACACAGAGAGGGCAGAGGTGAGAGAGGAAGAGGGTATCTCTATGTGTTAGGGTTCTGGTTCCACTCACTCCAGGGACTCACACTGTAAGACATCCTAGTGATCTTGCAACAAATGGTTTTTTAGACTAAACATCCTCTAAAATACCAATAACCACTATATTCTCTTGTCAGACTGATGTGGGTTCTTATGCTCATTAAATAGCAACCAACTATTTACTCACAATCTATTTGCATTAAGTACTATGCTGGACATTGTAGAGGATGCAGAAAGAATACCATAGCCCATCTCCTTAAAAGGCAGCGTTTTGGAGATAAAACTTGAAAAGTAGTCCTGAAGCTAAAGCTAACACCCAGAAAACAAGATAAGTTACATCCGGAACTGCAGATCACTCATTTAAGAATTTAAGCAGCAGATAGGAATGAAATTGGTGTCTAGAAGGGGCAATGAGTTCAAAGGAAATTTTTATGGATTCATGCCAAAGTTAAACAATTAGTAATGACAATATAAAATAGAGAGAAGGCAGAATATTGAGAATGGAAAAGAGAGAGATGAGTTGATATTCTGAATCTAGACTAGGAGACAGATCAGTCACCAAGAAGGTATACAAGGTCCAAACAAGACAAGCTAATAAACAATTCCTGTGTAATAGGCACTGTACTGAGTTCTTTAAATGCACTACCTCATGTAATACAACCCTATGAGGTATACAGTTATCCCAATTACATAAATCAGGAAAACAAAGTGTAAAGAAGTAACAAGAGCCACCTGTAAATGCCAGAGATGAGCCTCAGACCTTGCCATTTTGACTTCAGACCTCAAGCTCTAAACCACTGTATTATATTATTTCACACTAACATATCTCATATACATACCATGCAAAGTACACACAGATAGCCAAGACATGCACAGACATATCTAGGCCAAGGAGCTTCCACAACATCAAAGACTTTCCAGTAAAAATGTGTTCAACGAGTCAGGAAATGACAGATGTTGGCGGGGATGCAGATAAAGGGGAACCCTCCCAGACTGTTGGTGGGAATGCAAGCTGGTACAACCACTCTGGAAAACAGTATGGAGGTTCCTCAAAAAGTTGAAAAAATAGAGCTACCATATGACCCAGCAATTGCACTACTGGGTATTTACCCCAAAGATACAAATGTAGGGATCTGAAGGGGTACATGCACCCCGATGTTTATAGCAGCAATGTCTACAACAGCCAAACCGTGGAAAGAGCCAAGATGCCCATCAACAGATGAATGGATAAAGAAGATGTGGTATATATATACAATGGAATATTATGCAGCCATCAAAAGGAATGAGATCTTGCCATTTGCAACAATGTGGATGGAACTGGAGGGCATTATGCTGAGTGAAATAAGTCAATCAGAGAAAGACATGTATCATATGACCTCACTGATATGAGGAATTCTTAATCTCAGGAAACAAAGGGTTGCTGGAGTGGGGGTGGGGTGGGAGGGATGGGGTGGCTGGGTGATAGACATTGGGGAGGGTATGTGCTATGGTGAGCACTGTGAATTGTGCAAGAGTGTTGAATCACAGATCTGTACCTCTCAAACAAACAATGCAATATATGTTAAGAAAAAAAAAAAAGAAGATAGCAGGAGGGGAAGAATGAAGGGGGGGAAATCAGAGGGGGAGACGAACCATGAAAGATGATGGACTCTGAAAAACAAACTGAGGGTTCTAGAGGGGAGGGGGGTGGGGGATGGGTTAGCCGGGTGATGGGTATTAAAGAGGGCACGTTCTGCGTGCAGCACTGGATGTTATGCACAAACAATGAATCATGGAACACTACATCAAAAACTAATGATGTAATGTATGGTGATTAACACAGCAATAAAAAAATTTAAAGGGAAAAAAACTAAAAAAAATAATGTGTTCAGTTGGACTGTGGAAATGGTGACTAGGAATGTATATCATATATTCAGAAAGGTTTTACTGAGCAGCAACTCTGGGTCATTCAGTCTGCTGGAGCCCAGATACAAAGATGACTTAAACAATATCCCTGCCCTTCAAAGGGACTTACAGTCTACTAAGACAGGCATCTAATTCTAACACAATGTAACAAGTACTATAATAGAGGTATAGTGCTGGGAATCATAAACAAGGGCTAACTAGGGCAATAAAAAACACTAAGAAGGAATGGTGTTGAAAATATTAATAAGCAGCTAGAGACCAGAGAATAGCTAGAAATCTAATAGCAATATCTGGTGGGAACACAGCTAAGATTAAGACCAGATACCAGTGAAATTTCCATTAATTAAGAATGGAAAATCAATAGGAGGAACCAGACACAAAGTGACCAGAAAGTAAGACTGAAGTAGAAGTGGTAAAGACCAAATGAGGATAGAAATCAAGTCATGCAAAACAGGTCCCCGAAGTACAAAATAGGTCAGCACAACTATTTATGTAGCAACTGCCCTAACAGTGAGTCTAAAGGCCTAACAGTATTCTGAAGTTAGCTAAATTTCCAGTTCCACTTGGGCTTTCTCTGCTCATGCTGAGGAACAATAGTTTTTAATGCCATTTCTACCTTGAATTCTGCCCCAAGAATGTACCAAGGCAGAGGGTAGGTTGATTACCAGTGATGAAAAGCCACTATAAGTTACAGAGTATAGAAGTGGGAAACCAGATCCCAGGTTTGATCTTTGGACCCAGTCTAACAAGAATCCAAGTCAGCTATGTAGATGTTGAGTTGAAAATTTGTATGGATGATAAATTTCTTCATCTCTTTAACTAATACATGATGGCAGTGTTGAACATGAGTGGTAAGGTCACCCTTGAACAGAAAGGCATGTATGAAAAATATTCTGGAAGACTGGAAGATGCAGGCAGTCATAAGATTTGCTTTGGAGTCTTAAAAGACCAATGAACTTTCTCGGTGGTCCAATCTTTTAGATGATCAGGTTGAAAGAACAGGTGGATACATAAACCAAATTTCCACTGTGGAATGAGTCCCATGACACTGTATTATGTTATTCATATTTCATCTCGGATTGATGAACCAATGGCATTTTGGGCCAGTGTATCTGGGAAATATGGCTGAATATATTAAAGACTCCCATAATTGTTTTGATAGTGAGGCATCTCTGAAATGAAAGATAAGTTGGGACCTGAGAGAATTTGATTCGAAAGCATACGGTGACAGAAAACAGCCTTTCATTTTAGCTGTTTTATAAAATGGATTTAGAGACGACTCCCAGGGAGATGGCAGTATCAACCACACAGCTCCCAGATAGATGCATGGAAGTTGCTTAATCTATTGATACTGCTGTTTACAACAGCTTTGTTGTGAGGACTTAAATTAGAAATAGTATGTAATATTTTTACTTTATTCAAGGAGTACAACCTTCCTAGATATTATAACTTTAAACAGAGTAGTGGGTGACATGGTAAGGGACCTATGATCAAAAAGTAAGAGTAGGTCATGAAAGGATGAAGTAGCCCACAAAATTATAACATTAGTATGACTCTAAAGTGTGGAGTTGCTGATGTCTGATCAGGACTGAGCTGTTACCAAATGCTTTTCCACATTTATTACATTTAAAGGGCTTCTCTCCAGTATGAATTCTCTGATGCTGAATAAGGTGAGTGCTCTGGCTAAAAGATTTACCACATTCATTACATTCATAGGGTTTCTCTCCAGTATGAATTCGCTGATGTTTAGTAAGGGATGAGTTTTCAGGGAAGCCTTTCCCACATTCACAGCATGTATAGGGTTTTTCTCCGGTGTGAATCCTTTGATGTTGTGTAAAAGTTGAGTGGGCAGTGAAAGCTTTTCCACATTCATTACATTTATAAGGCTTTTCCCCAGTATGAGTTCTCTGATGCTGGGTAAGGTGTGTACTTCTTCTGAATGCCTTCCCACAATCCTTACATTTATAGGGTTTCACTCCAGTGTGAATTCTCTGATGCTGTGTAAGAGATGAGGTATCAGTGAAGGACTTCCCACAAACAATACATTCATAGGGTTTCTCTCCACTATGAATTCTTTGATGTTGAATAGAAGATGAGTAGTCACTGAAGGCTTTCCCACATTCATCACATTTATAAGGTTTCTCCCCAGTATGAATTCTCCGGTGTTAAGAGATGAATTTACACTGAACGCTTTTCCGCAGACTTTACATTTATAGGGTTTTTCTCCAGTATGAGTTCCCTGATGTTCAGGAAGAGATGAACTCTGACTAAATGTTTTCCCACAGTCATCACATTTATAAGGTTTCTCACCAGTATGAATTCTCTGATGACGAAAAAAGTTTGAATGGTCACTGAAATTTTTTCCACATTCACTACAATTGTAAGTTTTCTTTTTAGAATTTCTTTGTCTTTTAATTGAAGATAAGTTCCATTTGACACTTTTCCCAAATGGATCAAATATAAGTGGTTTTTCTTCTAAATGAGTAATATGCTGTGGAGTAAGTTTAGACCTTAGACCAAAACTTCTCTCAAACTCACTGAAATTATGCCCAATTTCCTGAAAGGCTAATTCTTCATGGGCAACTACCACTTGCTGAAAAACAGTATTTTGAACAAGACACTTTTTTGAAATTTTGCCTACAGACTCTTCCCTTTGCTTTTCTACTTTGGCCCCACATTCACAGGCTTCTTCAAATAAATATTCTTGGGACACATCCCTTCTGAGCCTTTCCATGATGACAGGGATGGAGCTACTCAAAAGTATATTCTAATGGTCTTCTCTGTGGTAACTGCTCTGGCCTTCAAATCTGAAAAGAATAAAAATTATAATAACATATTGTCTGTGTTGGGATAAGGGAAACAACACACAGGAGAAAGAAAGCAACTTTACTAAAATTAATGCATATTAGTATACACACTCTCACAAGCAGGGAAAATAATAAGAGTCAGTGGAGTAGAGATGAGTAGAGGTAGGTAAGAGGCTGGCCCGCTGGAATTGTTACAAAGACTCTTAAAGCTGGAAAAAATGCTTTAAAGATGTAAAGGTTTAACCTCATTTTAAAGATGAACAAGTTTAGAACTAGAGAGATTATGTGATTAACCTAAATATACAGAAATTATTATTTTTTTAAATACAGAGATTATTAATAGGATAGTGAGAAACAGAACTTAGACTCTGTCCACTATACCACAAGAGTAATCTAGAGGCTAAACAGAGCTTAATGACAGAATGGACAAGGACCCAGTCCTAATGAAGGTGACGCATAGCAATACCAGAAAAATGAGCAACAAGAAAAAAATGGCAGAGTAACAGGCCATAGAGAGAAGCTATGAGGAATGTAAAAACAGCACCTGGAAAAGCAATGTAGAAAGGAGCAACCAATGAATAGGTCAAAAAGCTGAACAGCGGAACTTAAGGCTTTAAGGAGAGTTCCTTGGACAACACTGTAGAGATGCCACTCCTCCTCAACAATCACCCCTAAGTTGCACATACAGATTCGTCCCTCCCCTAAATGAGTGCCTCTGGAGACCTCAATATCTCACAGGATCTCCAAAATACCTTCCTGGGCAAAGACTAATTTTAGAAACTGAGAACTGTGCTCATGGGAGGGGGTGGAATATACAACGAAGTCAATACTGTCATTACTTAAATGTAATATTTTGACATTTCTAAAGCACCAATACTACTAACTTTTAAAGCATTTAATCTGAGTCTCCCAACAGTCCTTACGTTGGAGGACAAAGACTTACCGAATCCTCCAGACAACAGAGAAGACAAAACAGACACCAGAGAAGACACGCGGGGAGACTTGGAGAGAGGTGTTATCAGAGTGGCTGGGAAAGGCAGGGCGGTACCACAAAGGGGATCTCAGATCAGAGTCGACGTTTGGGTAGAAATACTAATGGGAGGGAGATGTTCTGGTACAAAGAAATGCTGACGGAAGGCAATGCGGAATTGCTCCCCTTTCCTTTTTAACAAACAGAAGAAACCTCTGAGAATCGCAAACGAACGGTCACTTAAATTGTGGAAGCCACTACTTTGCTGCCTTAACTACACAAAGATCTACCTACTCAAATTTTCAGCAAGTGTTAGAAAACCTTGCAAAGGTGTAGGTTACGGGGTAAGGAGAAAGGGAAGTCTCCACCAGCCCCCCACAGACACAACGGCTTCAAGCCAAACTGGGGGTCTCCAAGCAAACGTTTTAGCAGAGGCTCGCCGGCGAGGGGCCGCGGCGTGCAGGCCCCAGACTTAAATCCGGCCCGCGGCACCCAAGCTGCTGCCGCAGACAGCACAGACGCCGGCTCCGTCCAGGGTCCCCTTTACGCAGGTCTTTTCCCGGCACTCCCTTCTCCTTCCGCCTCCCCTCTTCCTCTGCGCTGGGGGCGCTCCGGCCCTTCACGGCCTCCGGGGGCCGCGGGGGTCCCGTCCCCGTCAGGCCGCAGCTCGGAGAGCCCGCGGCTCCCGGCCGGAGCGCAGGTACGAGAGCAGGGCCGGGCTCTCTGCGCCGCGTCCCCGTGCCGCCCCGACCTCACGAGAATCCAGGCTCCAGGCAGCCTTCCCGGGACGGCGGCGACCAACCCGCAACTCCCAGGACGCTCGACCGCGGCGTCCGAAGGCCCCCGACGACAAACTACCACTCCCAGAATGCCTCGGGGTGCGTCGCTTCCGCTTCCGTTCTCCAGGACTTTCCTTTTCCCCCGAAGTCCCCGGGAAATCTCGGCCTCTCTGTACCCCTCCCGCGGCGCTAAGCGGAAGAGGTGGGGCCCGAGGTGCCTCAGCCAATCAGGGCCGCACGCCGGAATCTCCATGGTAACCACCGCAGCCGCCGGCTACTTTCCACCCGGCGGGTAGCGGCGGCGGAAGCGCGGGTCCTGGGTTCGGGCTGCCCGCCGCTTTCTGCTTCTGAGCACAGGTGTTCGCAGGCGGCAGCCTCGCCGCGCTGGACCGCACACGCCCTGGGGAGGAAGGACGGTATAAGAAACGTACAGACACTAGAGGACTCAGCGGTCCTTTGGTAAAAAGACAGTTTGAGACAGTCGGGCACACTAGATAACACTAAGGAATTATTGTGAGTGCACGTCACTCGTGACGTTTCTCAGCAGACACTGCAAAAGCCATCTAGAGGTCGGCTGTGCATGTATCATAAATATACAGCTTGGTGAATTATATCAAAATGAACATACCTATATTAACTGCCACCTGAATAAACAAATGGAATATATTACCATCACTCCAAAAGACCTCTTCCTAATTACACTCCAATCAAAGGTAACCTCCATTCTGCCTTCCAACTCTGTGGGTTCATTTCGCCTGCTTTTGAACTTTGTAGAGATGGAATCAGAATCATAACATGCTTTTTTTTTTTTGCGTCTGACTTCTTTCACTCACACAACTATTAGGACTCATCCATGTTGTTGCATATATCAGTAGTTGGTCCTTTGTATTGCAGAGCTGTGTTCTATTGTAAAAATATGCCACAATATTTTTAAGCATTTTATGTTGCTGGACATTTGGATGATAGATTTTTGGTTATTCCAAGTAGTGATGCCTTGAACATTCTTGAACATGCTTTTGGGGTGTACATATGTAAGCATTTTCACTGGGCATATACCTAGGAGTGGAGTTGCTGGATGATAGGATATGCCTTCTCACTAACACTTGGGCTTCTCTGTCTTCCCAATATTAGTCATACTGAGAGGTGTGTAATGCTATATCATTTGGGTTTTTATTTTCATTTCCCTGATAACAAATAAAACTGAACACTTTTTCATGTATTTATTGGCCATTTGGATTTCCTACTTGATTTATAGGAGTTCTTTATATATTCTGGATATGAGCTCTATCATTTGCTTTGCAAATATTTTTTCCCATAATGTGACTTGATTTTTCACTGTCCAAATGGTGTGTTTTGGTGGGTTAGAGTTCTCAGTTTTAATGGAACCTATTGATTAATCTTTTACTTTATGGGTAGTGATTTCTGTGCCCTATATAAGACATCTTTTTCTAACCCAAGGTGATGAAGATTTTATCCTATAGCATCTATTAGAAGTTTCATTGTTTTACCCTTTACATTTAGATTTTAAATCCCACTAAAAATAACTTTTTTGTGCATATGTTGTGAGGTAAAGATCAGGTTTCTTTGTGGAAATACAACTTACCTAGGATTATATGTTAGAATATTAATCTTTCCAACATGGTTCTGCAATGCCATCTTTGTCACAAGGCAGGTGACTTGATTCTGTCTCACTGGTCTCTTTCAGGAGTCAGCAAAATTTTTCTGTAAAGGGCCAGATGTGAACTATTTCAGACTTTGCAGACCACACAATCTCTATCACAACTACTGCACTCTGCCATCGTAGCATGAAAGGAGCCATAGAAAGTACATAAACAAATGGACATGGCTGTGTTCCATCCAGGAAGACTTTAGTTATGACCACTGACATTTGAATGTTGTGTAATTTTCTTGTGTCATGAAATATTCTTCTTTTTATTATTTTCAACCATTTAAAAATGTAAAAACCATTCTTAGTTTATGAGCCACAGAAAGGCAGAGAGTAGGCCAGACTCAGTCCATGGGCAGGCCAATGTTTACTGACCCCTGGTCTCTTTATTTCTCCATCTTAATCAGGCTTTACTGTAAGTCCTGATATCTGATAGGATAATTTCTCCAATTCTTGTTCCTTTTAGAACATATCTTGGCCTTTCTTAGCCCTTTGCCTTTCCACATGCATGTTTAGAATTAGTTTGCTGATTTCCACGCCCAAAAAAGCCTACCATAGTTTTAATGAGGTAACTAGGGCTGAAAGAGGAATTTGGGGAGAAATGAGATGCTTGAAAGCTGGTTTTCAGAAGGGATTGCAATGCAATATATCCCATTTTATAATTTCACGAAACCTGTCAAATGTAAAAACCACCTGGACCCTTAGAGATGAGTTCACTTTAAGGCTAAGAGGAGGACAGGGGCTGGGGGTAGGGGTGGGGGAGCAGAACCATGTTCTGACTGCGTGCAGGGGAAGGACACAGAGATCACTGTCCACTTTGCTGCAGGGTTGGGGGATACCCTGGATGGTGTCAGCCACAGTGTGGGTGGGAGTGTTCCTCTCTCGTGTACCACAAGTCATGCTCAGTGTGGCATATACTTCTCCTCTCTGATGGTGGAGAAGCAGAAACTGATGGAGAGGGAGCTGGAGTTATTGGCCCTACCAGCCCTCTGGGCCTCTGTAGCCATTCGTTCCTCCAACAGCCTCATAAAATCACATCATTTGAGTCCCCATAGCTCCAAAACGGGTAGGAATGCCAGCAGACATGGTCATCAGTTGTCAACCCTCCCTCCAAATAGCGATACAGATGTCACTGCCTTCACTCCCGCCTCTCCATGAACAGGACCTCTCTCAGCATGGCACCCTAGGCAGGGACACACGACCGGGGCCAATCGTGCACTCACACTGGGGCCCTTCCTCTGTAACCTCTGGCCTGTGGGCAGCCTCCATACCCAGGCAGCACAGCATGGGGAACCAGCCCTCCACCCTCTCCCTGGAAATATAGTGTACACTACCGTTCACTGCCAAGCAAGGGACAGATGGGGTTCAGAAAAGACTTCAGATTTTGAAGTGAGACCAAATCCCATTTGAATGTTGGTTCTGCACTTCCCTTCTGTGTGACTGTGGCTCCTCAGAAATCTTCTCTGAACTTCGACCTTCTTATCTACAACAGACAGAACAACAATTAACTGGCAACCATGAGGACACACAGATGCCCTGCAGACACTGTGGCAGTGACAGGCCAGCAGGTGCAAGGACCAAGAGCCTCCAGGTCCAGAAGAGTGTCCCAGGACCCTTGAATTTCATGGTGGGGACACACTTCCTGCCATTCTCCCAAACTTCAGTTAAAGTTTGTCGTGTGCTGGACGTGTAGCAGGAGCACAGATGCCCTGGGGAGGGAAGTGGAGGCATGCAGAAGCAGAGTCACAAACCCAGAAAAGAGGGCTCCCAGGGGAGACGCCCCACACCCTACTTTCCTGAATTGCTTATAGGACCCAATTACAATATGGGGGGAATTTCTCCCACACATCCACCAAGCAATTCTTTGTGGTACCATCTGCGTGTCCTACAATTTAACTCAATTCTGACACTATCTACCTAGAGATAGTGGTCAGATACCACAGTTTAAGGGCTCGGTCCCACAAGACTGCTCCCACCCTACTCTAGACACCAATGGCAAGTAGTAGATCCCCAGGTTACCACAAACTTCTGTCTGATTTGCTACAAATCAGAGGTTCCCGTAACCCCCCTTGTCAGGTATGATTAATTTGCTAGAGCAGATCACAGAACTTACTTCTTATTTAACTTAGGAAACACTTAAATTTACCAGTTTATTTAAGGATATGATACAGGCTATAGATGAATAGCCAGATGAAGAGATACATAGGGCAAGGTCTGGGAGGATCCTGAGCTCAGAAGCTTCTGTCCCTGTGAAGGTGGGACATGTCACCTCCCAGTGTGGATGTGTTCACCAACATGGAAGCTCTCAGAACACTGTACTTTTAGGATTGTATGGAGGCTTCATCAGGTAGGCATGATTGGTCATTAACTCCATTTTTAGCCTTCTTGAGAGAATGGGGTGGGGGGTGGGGCTAAAACTTCCAAGCTTCTAATCATGGCTTGGTCTTTCTGGTGAGCAGCTGCCATCCCAGAGCCACCAGGAATTGCCTCATTAAGAATGAAGGATACTCCTATCCTTCAGGAATTTCTAAGGGATTGAGGACCCCATGGTCAGGAACCAGGGATAGAGACCGACACATATTTTTGTTATTATTTCACACCCACTGACATTGCCCCAGCCAGCTCTAACTAGCAGTTCCTGCTTTCTCAACAGCAGGTTGCTCCAGGGCCCTGCCCTGGGCCCCTTCACTTTCCTGGGTTCTATCCAGCCTATGGCTTCATCCACAGGTTGACAACCCCAAACTCTACATCCCTAGGCTGATCTCCCCCCCGACCTCAGCTCATGGGTCCATTTGCCACTCAACATCTCCACTTGGACATCTATGGGCAGAACTGAGCTCCCAACACTCTCCACAAGCTACTCTTCTGACCTTACATCTCATGGAGGGCATTTTCAGGAGCTTGGGCCACAACCCTGGAGCTACCTGCTCTTTCTCTCCACCCCATGCCCAGTCTATCAGGAAGTCCTGCTAGGTGAGCCCCGATACACATCCCGCTGGATCACTTTGTTCTATCTCCTTCACCACCCAGGGCCCACTTCCCTTCTCCAGGGTGGTTGCAGAAGCCTCCTGCTGGCACCTCAGTCCATTCTCACACAATAGCCAGGGCGATCCACTCATACTCAAGTCACCCGCTCCCCTTCTGTTCCCACAGTACTCAACGGGGGAGCCAACATGCTCCTGTGGGCCCTCCAGTCCTGCAGAGGCCCCACCACCCCATCTCCTCTGGCCCCTGGTAAGCCCCTCAGGTTCTGGCTGTTCCTTCTGCCTGGGAACCACTCTCCACACATAGCCGCCCGGCTGGCTCTGCTCTTTCAGGCCTTTGCACAAATGCCTACTTCTCAGTAGGGGTTCCAGAGCCTAGGCTGTGTGTGGCACATAGTAGGTGCTCAACAAACATTGGCTGAAGGAGTGAAACTGTGGGTTGCACCAAGGAGACCTCTGTCCCAACAATCCTGGACACCACCATTCACAGGTAATAAGAGCTAAACTCTGCCAATTCAGTCAGTGAAAATGCAGTTTTGTTGCTACAATTTCTCTTTACTTTTTCCTTTCTTTAAGTACAAGTTGTTTGAACATATTTTCATATGTCGTTGGCTGTTTATTCATTTAGAAAACATACAAAGTGCCTGCGACTGTTTTCTGGGTCCCTCATTAAATTTGGACCATGTCACCTGCCATCTCTTTTGGGCACAAACCCTCACAAAGGGTTTAGACTTTTAATTCTGGGACAAATACTGTGAATAATTTTACAATTTACATTTTGACTTTTAATTTTGTTCGTGACATTTTTAATGAATAATTTTAATTGTTATGAATGCATGCCAAAAATAACTTTTTCTTTGTGGTTTCTGACTTTAATTTTGTGCCATAAGGGCCTTTTCTCCTCCAATGGCATAGAAATATTGACCAATACAGCCACAGTCTTATTTTTTATATTTGAACTTTACTCCAGCTGGGGGTACATTTTGGTGAATGCCCTATTTGGGGCAAGTTTCTAAATTAATTCCTTTCTCAAAAGGCTAAGTGTGGTAGATGGCAAAAAACATGCCCACAAATTGCTCTCAAAACTCTCATGCACCTTTTGCCTCTTCTCCTGAAGAGATGGGGTCCATATTTCCACCCCTGAATCTGGGCTAGGCCATGTGACTTGCTTTGGCCAAAAAGATATTACAAATGTGATGGACTGAGGCTGAAAGTGTTTGTTCATAGAAACCTGATCTCTCTGGCTGCTTTTAGAGACCAGCTACCATTTGAAGGAGCCAGAACCAAGCTGCTGCATGCTTGCTGAACTTGGATAAACCTGTTGCATGCTGGAGGAGTGTGGGTCAACCTACTATCTGCTGGGGGAATGTGATCATGTTGCATTTGTCATTTAGCCAACTACCAGATGCACAGGTGAGCTCAGGTGAAACCACCAAAATCACTGTCCTACTGAGCCAGGCCAAATTGTCCACCCACAGAATCATGAGCACATAAATGATTGTTCTAAACCCATAAGCTTCAGAGCAAACGCTAAAGTAGCAATCATTTCTCCCAATGCTGTTTATCAAGTCTTCGGCCCCTTCTCCCATAGATAAGAAATGCCCCCACTACATCTCTTATGTTTTTATAGAATCAGGAATCTGGGCTTGGATTCCCACCCAGGCAGCTTTGTAACCCTCTGGCGACATTCCAGTTGCAGGAGCCTTCAGTTGGGAGGTATTTGCACTTCACCCTTGAGCCTCAGGAAATCAAGGCTTGGAGTGCAGACAACACTCCCGATCTAAAGTTTAGATTCTTGGATCTTCTGGAAAGGGGGTTCTTTACCTGGAAACCTTGGAGTAGCCATAGGTGTTTTCGCAAATTGGGCCACATTTAAGCAGATTCTCAAAGGGTTACTTGACCGCAAAAATGTGAGCCGAGGCTGAAGGAAACTGATGCAGTTCTGGTCAAACTCTCTGTGGACGCTGGGTGGCAGTAGAGGAAAGCAAAGCTGCGTATCTCTTCTGTGTTATAGCAAATGAACTCATTTCTGTTTGTCTATTGCAGTGATTCATTGGTTTGTGCTGTCCTGTTGCTCGTGCTAGAAGCTTCATCGGGGAAGGCTTTGGACCGAACTCTTGGCCTCAAAGGGAATCAAGATCCAACAGGCAAAAAGATTAACACACACAGTGCCTACCACACAGTGGGCGATGGGCCAGAAATGGGAAACCCTTTCTCTCCCTGCACCACACCCCTCCTGGAACTGTGCCTATCACACAGCAAAAAGAATAAACTCCCTGGCAGGCTCCCGTTCCAGAAGTTGTCAGGTGGGGTGTAGTGGGGGGACACCCATGGGACAATAAAGAGATGCCTAGTTGTGCTGTTTGTGCAGAAGCAACACAGCTAGCCTCAGAGGCCCCAGCAGGGCTTGTCTCGGGGCTACAGAAATCTCCCCACACCCAGGCACCCAGGCATCCCCTCGGCACACACTGTCCACACTTGTAGCAGAGGAAAGCTTTGCTCTCTGCACACATTCCAGCAAGTCACCAGGGCAGAGGTGGGGAACTGAGCACCTGGGGGCAGTCATTCCCATGGCGGGGGGGAGGGGGGGTTGCACCTCCCACAGTGAGGCCCAGGCAGATGAGGGAATTTGTTGCTACTGGATCAGTGCTCCCACAGCATGTGTGGGGGGCCAGGTGCATCAGGGAAGACTCCCTTCCTTTTGGAAAAGGGCACCAGTTCATGAAACTCTACCCCGAACTGGTGTTTGTCTAACACCAGCCTCTTTGCAGAGCTGCCTAGTACTTCCTTCCAGATGCAGCAGTGCTGCAGGGGCCTCCGGCCAAGGGCCTTGCTGGTGAATGCCTGGACCATTAAGTGAGCTTTGCCATGAAGTCAAAGAGGAATTTTAGTGGAAGAAAAGAGGGTCTGTGAAGAGGGCAGGTGGGGCTTCATGTACAAAGGTCTGGTTCCTGAGGGAGCAGCCAACTGGCCTGCGCAGAACAGAGGGTTAGGGACACAGGTTCCTGACTTTGAGGCTGGCAGCATCCCCACTCTAAGGTCCTGGCCATTGACTAATTCATTCATGACTCATGTTACTGAGCACCTCCTATGTGCTAGCCACCACTCCAAGTGCTGGGAAAACAAGGGCCCTGTGTCCCATGAGCTTTGGTTCTTGCAGGGGGACAGATCACAGACAAGAAAATGAGATGTGAGGTCGGTGGGAGGAGCAAGATGGCAGAGAAGTAGGAGACCTAAATTTCATCTGGTCCCAGGAATTCCGCTAGATAGCTATCAAACCGTTCTTTTTTTTTTTAAGATTTTATTTATTTATTTGAGAGAGAAATGAGATAGAGAGAGAGCATGGGGGGGGAGGGTCAGAGGGAGAAGCAGACTCCCCGCTGAGCAGGGAGCCCGATGCGGGACCCGATCCCGGGACTCCAGGATCATGACCTGAGCCAAAGGCGGTCGCTTAACCGACTGAGCCGCCCAGGCGCCCCCCAAACCATTCTGAACACCTACAAACTCAACAGGAGACTGAAGAAAAGAATAGCAGCAACTCTATGAACAGAAAAGCGACCACTTTCTGGAAGGTAGGACGTGTGGAGAAGTGAATCCGAGGCGATATACGAGAAGATAGACCATGGGGGGAGGGGGCCTCCATTAGCCAGCTACCAGCAAGTGATAGAGCAGCAGAGCAAAAAATCAGAACTTTTAGAAGTCAGCTCCGCGGACGGACGTCGCTCCAGTGGCTAAGTGGGGGGTGGAACCCTCACTGGGACAGTGTGGTCTCAGGACCTCGGGGTCACAGAAAGACCGGGGGTGCCTGAGTGCGCCAGAGCTCCCAGGTATTGGGGTGGAGAAGCCGGCCGCAGAGACAGAGCCAAGGAGTGGGCTCCCAGCTCGGGGTTGCCATAAACTGTGATCTGCGGCACAGTCGGGCCACTGCTCCTCCAGCAGGGACCCAACAAGCGGCAGATCCAGGGAGACTCCCCTTCCTCCCCCGGGAGGAGCAGTGCGGGAGCGCACCACAGGGATCTGCTGGGTTTGGAGACTCCAGGCGGGATCATGTGCCAGAGATAGAAACGCTCGGTCACAGGCCGGGTGAGCACGGAGTGCGGCCGGAGACCGGGGAGAGGGGAGTGATTGACTGCTTTTCTCTGGGGGTGCACTGAGGAGCGGGGCCCCGAGTTCTCGGCTCCCCCAGGGTGGAGATTGGGAGGCCGCCAGTTTCATTCTTGTCCTCCAAAGCTGTACGGAAAGCTTTCAGGGAACAAAAGCTCCCGAGAGCAAACCCAAGCAGATGACTTAGCCTGGCCCCTGGCAAGGGCGGGGCAATTCTGCCTCCGGCAAAGACATTTGAGAATCACTGCAACAGGCCCCTCCCCCAGAAGATCAGCACGAACATCCAGCCAAGACCCACTTCACCGATCAATGAGAACTGCAGAACTCCACCGCTAGGGGAATACAGTACATAGAATTCATGGTTTTTTTCCCCATGATTCTTTAGTCTTTCAAAGTTAATTTTTTTAATTTTCTTTTTCTATTTTTTTGAATTTTTCTTTTCCCCTTTCTCAACCAACATCTTATCAATTCCTTTTTTAAAATCTTTTTTTAATTTTCATTTTGAGTCATATTCTATCCCTTCATTGGAGTTAACCTTATTTTTTGTATATATATAAGTTTTTTCTCTCTTTAAAATTTTGGGATACAGTTTCTTCTAACAGACTAAAATATACCCTAAATCTCTAGTGTATGGGGTTGATCTAGTCTCCTGCCTGATCACATTCTCTCTCTCTTTTTTTTAATTTTTCTTATTTCTTTTTTCAACCAGCTTACTATCAATTCTTATTTAAAAATCTTTTTAAATGTTCATCTTTACAGTCATATTCTATCCCTTCATTGTACTTACCCTTATTTTTGTATATATATGAGTTTTTCTTTCTTTAAAAATTTGGGAGGCAGTTTCTTCTAACAGACCAAAATACACCCAAAATCTAGTGTGTGGCTCTGATCTATTCACCAGGCTAATCATATTCTTTTTTTTTCCTCCCCCCCCCCATTTCAGGTCTCTTCTGATTTGTTTAGTGTATATTTTTGTGGGGTCGTTATTACCCTTTTAGTATTTTGTTCTCTCATTCATCTGTTCTTCTCTGGACAAAATGACAAAACGGGAAAGCTCACATCAAAAAAAAAAAAGAAGAGGCAGTACCAACTGCCAGGGGCCTAATCAATATGGACATTAGTAAGATGTCAAAACTAGAGTTCAGAATGACGATTATAAAGATACTAGCTGGACTTGAAAAAAGCATAGAAGATACTAGAAAATCCCTTTCTGGAAAAATAAAAGAACTAAAATCTAACCAAGTTGAAATCAAAAAAGGCTATTAATGAGGTGCAATAAAAAATGGAGGCTCTAACCGCTAGGATAAATGAGGCAGAAGAGAGAATTAGTGATATAGAAGACCAGATGATGAAGAGTAAAGAAGCTGAGGAAAATAGAGATAAACAACTACTGGATCACAAGGGGAGAATTTGAGAGATAAATGATACCATAAGATGAAACAATATTAGAATACTTGGGATCCCAGGAGAAGAAGAAAGAGAGAGAGGGGCAGAAGGTATACTGGAGCAAATTATAGTGGAGAACTTCGCTAATTTGGGGAAGGAAACAGGCATCAAAATCCAGGAGGCACAGAGAACCCCCCCTCAAAATTAATAAAAATAGGTCAACACCCTGACATATAATAGTAAAACTTACAAGTCTCAGAGGCAAAGAGAAAATCCTGAAAGCAGCTTGGGACAAGAGGTTTGTAACCTACAACGGTAGAAACATTAGATTGGCGGCAGACATATCCACAGAGACCTGGCAGGCCAGAAAGGACTGGCATGATATATTCTCACTAAATGAGAAAAATATGCAGCCAAGAATACTTTATCCAGCTAGGCTGTCAATGAAAATAGGAGAGATAAAAAGCTTCCAGGACAAACAAAAACTAAAAGAATTTGCGAACACCAAACCAGCCCTACAAGAAATACTGAAAGGGGTCCTCTAAGCAAAGAGAGAGCCAAAAAGTAACATAGAACAGAAAGGAACAGAGACAATATACAGAAATAGTCACCTTACAGGCAATACAATGGCACTAAATTCATATCTTTCTATAGTTACTCTGTATGTAAATGGGATAGATGCCCCAATCAAGAGACACGGTATCAGATTGGATAAATAAACAAGACCCATCAATATGCTGTCTGCAAGAGACTCATTTTAGACTCAAAGACACATGCAGATTTAAAGTGAGAGGGTGGAAAACCATTTATCATGCTACTGGACATCAAAAGAAAGGTGGGGTGGCAATCCTTATATCAGACAAATTAGATTTTAAACCAAAGACTATAATAAGAAATGAGGAAGGACACTATATTGTACTTAAAGTGTTATCCAACAAGAAAATCTAACAATTTTGGGGCGCCTGGGTGGCTCAGTCGTTAAGCGTCTGCCTTCGGCTCGGGTCATGATCCCAGGGTCCTGGGATCGAGCCCCGCATCGGGCTCCCTGCTCTGCGGGAAGCCTGCTTCTCCCTCTGCCACTCCTCCTGCTTGTGTTCCCTCTCTCGCCGCTGTGTCTCTCTGTCAGATAAATAAATAAAATCTTAAAAAAAAAAAAAA